AATAATAATAATAATAATAATAATAATAATAATAACTTACATTTATATTGCGCTCAACCCCGATTTAAGTACATCGGCTCTGGGCGCTTACACAGGCATAAAAATAAGATTGTGTGTTAAAATAAATTATAGAATGTTAACAATGGAGGAAGAATTACGCAGAACATTCGAAAAAAGCATCCGATCCTTGTAACTACATGGTGATATTTAAATAATAATATGTGAGGTTGCTGTATCCCTCTCAGTCCAGGTTGAGCCTGATGGGCAAGATTGGAAACCTGCCTCATAAATGATCTAAATTGTGCCGATGGGAGCGCAAAAAATGCCTACTTAAAAAAGAAATGTTATTTCAGGTGAACGCTTGGAAAAAGGGAGACAATTACCTTGACTGGGAAAGCGCCGAGGTAGGACAAGGCACTTACAAGGGCAGACAGGCAGAGGGAACCCCAGCTTTCTGGTCCACCAACAGACCCAATCAGTCGGGCTACAACGCACTCAATACGTGAGTAAACATAAGTCTATTACTATTATTATGTTGTCTCTGCTACAATATCTCCTCGTTTTTGCATGTGTGCTCTATGTTATCAAGCTGGCCTTTCTTTGCCGTGGCTGCACACAGCCCGTTTTGATAAGAACAGAAGTGAACAAATAATTTAGAAACAGAAATAAACCACCAGTGGATGGGGATTGACCTCAAGAGAGCAGATTTGGTGTTTTTTTCTTACTAATTCAAAATCTGCGACTTTATAGCACTATAAAACTAAATGATAGGTCTACTGCAAATGATTTGAAGATCAAACGATTTGCATTTTGCATGACGCACTTTTAAGTGACTACTGCATAGAAATCGATACCAGTAACAAGAGACATTGATTTTTTAAAAATATCTTTAGACAATACCGCGATTGTTAATAAGACGTTGAGCAGGTTTTCGTTTTCAATTGGTCGCTTTTAAGGACAAGTGGGCTAACCTAGATTTCGGAGGTTTCCGGAAATCTTGACCTGAACCAAAAATGGGCATTGCCCTACCTATAGGAAAAGTTTAATTCCATTGGGTGTGTATATTTGTTAGGTTATAGAGAAAACTCTTAAAGAAACTGAATAAGGCGCAAAAACTTTACCTTTGATTTCCTCAAAACAGCATTTTTCGGGATAGCCCCCTTGTGCTTAAAAGCGACCAATTTTCATCGGTTTCCCTTTCACATAATTGTCTTAATGCGAATCCATGCAGTCTGTAAGATTATGTTTCATTCGGCTCAACACATATAATGGGTGGACGCTAAGAGCTGGAAACTCTGGCTCACCAACTGAAAGAGCTTGCCTTAAGTGCCAGTTCCTGTTTCTTTAGAACAGCTGCCTTCTCCTTGCAAGTTTTTCTTTAACTACTTCTAAAACGCATACCATTACGACCAAATGCTTTGCATTTCTAGTTCTTTCATTTGTCCTCAAAAAACAATTTTGATTGGTTTGAATAGTGATTTCAGTAGGTTTTTATTTTATTTTTTATTTTTGTACAAAAAAATAGCAGCAAAAAACCCCCCACAAAAAACAACAAACAAATAAAAAATAGCCTGCAATTTCATGTATGTATATTTCTTGTTCATACTGTTCCTATGTGATTGTGCTCGTGGATGGAAGGTGGAAAGATATGGTAGAGAGGGGGAGGGAGAGAGAGAGAGAGAGAGAGAGAGAGAGAGAGAGTGTGTGTGTGTGTGTGTGTGTGTGTGTGTGTGTGAGAGAGAGAGAGAGAGTGTGTGTGTGTG